CCTGAATGACTCCTACAAGACATTCACCCAAAATAAAGCCTTATAAAGCTTTATAATAACAGTATGCAGTTGGGTTGGGTGCGTTACGCATTTATGCACATAACCCAACTGTATACTGTTATGATAAAGCTTTATATGGCTTGCATCGCTCTTTTACTCTTCACATTTACGTTTAAACTACATGGCATTGTAAGTTAAATTATATGAAAATCCTGTTTTTCATGGACATACAGCATTATACAGGGAAAAGTGTATAGGGAAACATAAAGCAGCAGCCACACAGCTGACGGCTGTCAGTGTGAACGTGGCGCTATGTCAGACGCAGCTGTCATGGCCACAGCAAATCTTTCATTTTATATTTATTGTATTTAACAACCTCCATTAGAGGAAGAACAACCTCTAATGGAGGTTGTTCTTACCTAATACTTCTATAAAGTATAATCAATTATCTAAATTCAAAGTTATTATATCTATTATGTCTATGTCAATGTTTATTCATTTTTAAACCTTTAACACATTTCTTAAAATTCAAGAAGTTCTTTAGCCTTTATCTTAATTTCACCTACACATTTTCATTGTCTGGTTTTCATCATGACATTGTCACCAAGCTAAATGTGTTACTATCTGTGGATCAGAAGGAGAAGACTGAAATCAAATGATTTTGTCTAACAGGTTTCACATCATCACCCCACATCAAACAGCACAGGAAGTACTGCATGTACATATGTCAGAAACAAAGACAGTACAGTCAGTTCTACAAGATGATCCGACTATGTTGGTTCATGCTGTTGCTCTCTCTTTTCGCCAATGCAAAAGGTATGACCATTTACCTTTCTTAAATCATTCCATTATTTCAATCTTTTCAATCGAGAACATTTTGCTGTAGTTGTAGTCTGCCACAATGTTCACTAGACCAGTTAAATTATGCAAAGTACCTCCAGTTGCTGCTTCCAGAAATACTGCTACTCGTTCAGTGTTTAAATAATGCAGATGGTTGTGTCTTGCTGTATGCTTTTAGACACTCTAATCAGACAGTTTGTCTCTTTTATCACAACATTACAGTGTACAAAGAGTCTGGCGAGAGTATCACGTTGGAATGTTCCTCTGCAGGATGTCCTAGGAGCATTGAAGGGTATACTGGCATGTATTTGTATCATGAATTTAAGGAACTGGATGAGGTGCTTTACTATCACTCTATGCCAGGAAAAGCTGACAAAATCACCCCACGACTGAGATACAAAGGCAGGACTCAGACAAAAGGACCTTTGAAGAACAACACCATTACCATCAGCAACCTGACCGTGGATGATACTGGCTTATACCGCTGTGTCTTCTTCAAATTTCCCAGTGATTATGTTCATTGCAAAGTCTACACACTTTTTGTAGGAGGTGCGTTTTGCTTTTTGCTTTTCAAAAACTACACACAGTCATCTCTTAAATTTAATAAGTAGAGAGTAGCTCAAGTACAGTACAGTGAATTTAATTGGGTAAGTACCTTTTTCAGTTAACCATGTAATTTAATTCTACTTCATACTTCTAGTACATTTTAGAGAGAAATGCTTTATAGGGCACTTTTCCCTCCTCTACATACATGTAATGACTGTTACCAGTTACTTAAAACATAGTGAATTTATAAAACATGATATGTAGTATCATGTTTTATAAATACACAGAATGGGCCCCTTCTCAACCAGATATGAAATATACACTAAACATTAAAATGCTGCTTACATGTTGATAAATCCATGATATGTAGTCTCACAAAAAGTAGTAACAATAGTATCACTTTTATTTGTGATAATATACCCACTGCTGTATATGTGAAAGATAATGATATTTGCAAAAATCCACCATTTCTATTTGATTTTTCTTTTTGCCCTGCTTTTCTTCTGAGCATAAAAAGCCAATATGTTCAAACATATTGAAGTGGCAACTCAACTTGCACATTTGATGAAGGTGGCAAAATAAATAAATTACCAAGAAATTACTGAAAGAAATGTACTCTATGTTATCCATCCATAGTGACATGCCTTATGTTTGGAGTCATTTAGATTGTGGAGGTTTAATTCCCAATTAGACCTAGTAGTGTCATAGCACTCATAGCGTATGAATAACCATTGTATTACTCTTGTTTTACTGCTTAGGTTTCTGAGACCCCAAACAGAATTAATGTGTTAATTTCTGTTGCAGATTTTTGAAACATGTCATTGGTTCAGAATCATGTTTAAAAGCAATTCCTACAAAATGAGGAAAAAATCATACTGATAAAACAATATTAAGCTGTTTTTTGTTTTAAGATGACCCAGGTGTCTAGAATCATGTTTATTGAGAAGTATTTTTTCGCATACTAGGAATTTGCCTTGGTGTTTCGGTGCGTAACAATCATAGACATGTAACAATAAACATAGAAGTAAATATAAAAAACATATAAAAAGAATGTTCTTCAAGTCAATAAGCATAAATGGAAACTAAACAACTAAACAAGCCCTGAACCCCAGCTGAATCTGAGTTTACTTCCTGATCCATAATATAACTAACTATAACTTTCAAGCTTCAACCTGCCTGATTTTTGATTGACTCAATAGGCTAACATTTTCCAAACTCTTTTCATATTATAAACCAGGCTACAAATCTGTCTTTTTAAGGGCACATCAAAGCCAAACTCTTGTCAAATAGTTGTGTCCTTAATTTGTTCAATTTAACATGTAGAAATGGATGGAGTTTTAATATGACCCCCATCAATGTGGAGGGATGACAGATAGCGGCCAATCATCTTCTCTGCTCTCTCTTCAAGTAGGAGCTGATATGACTGCACCAGATCACCAGATCCTACCTGCAGGTGGAATCAATGAGAGTGGCGTTGTCTGCAAACCGTGTGATATCCTGCAGCATCCTGCTTCAGGTCCGTGGAGAATTCATTGTCATTTTGCAAATTTATAAAATAAAAAATATAGTTAAAGCTGCACTACAAATGCTATCACTATGGAATCAACCTTTACATGAAGATGGTACATTTTTATTTGGTGTAACCCATGTTGTCCTTTTTGTCATTTTACACAGGAATGCCTTGTGCTTCTACCAGTAAGAAAAGTCCACCTCTGGTGTTAATCATCATTGCCACCATCGCCAGCAGCACGCTGGTAACTGTGATCTTCATCCTGCTGATCCTCCCAAGGGTAGGTCTGAACTAAAATATTCAAGGAGCTGTGCCAGCTTCAGTGGTGGTTACCTTGTGTGTCTGCAGATGTTATTTCCTCTACATGTGCATCTTTATCAGTCAAGACAATCAGTCACTGCAACCCCCCAAAACCAACCAACTATACATATAAGGTTTGCTCCCTTGAGAGCTTCGGTTTACATGTTGACTATGTTAACGCTCTATCTGCAGGATGTGGGTGCAGGTTTATTGAAGTTATGTACACACATACACATTCTTTCCAATGTTGTCTCTGTATAACTAACATTTTGTTATTTTTGTAAGAATTGATTCTTTAAATTAATTGAGATACTGTTTAGATTTTAGTAGTGAAAACTGTTTTAGTGTAAAAATAAAAAGTGATATAATTAATAATATTTTTTTTATGAAATCTTAATTCCAACAACTGATTGTAGTCTGTGATATTCACTTCGACTGTTAACATTTGTCCTAAAATTCAGTCTTGAATTTCTTTTTAAAAAGGTCTTCTTGCATAATGAATGTAACTTTCTTATATCTATACACACCTTTATACCATGCAGACAATCTCTATAGTGATATTTCTCTATCAACAGGTGAAACAATGGACTAGCAACAGAAGAAGAAGAGAACGGGTCCCGCAGGTCTCCAATGATTATGTGTATGAAGTTATGACCAAGAACGGCTTTTGCTCTCTTGCAGCTTCAGAGCAGTCACCGCCAAGTCCATATAATTTCGCTTAGCATTGTAACATCAAATGTTATTGCCGTGATGAGGGTAGATTTACTTTTTAATTGTTTGTTGCTTGATGGAATGTTTCAAGTGATTTAAATCATCATAAATGAGACAAAAAGTAAAATACGTAGTTTATATGTTTAACAGCTAAACACTCCTAAAAGTGTTTCATTGTTGTGAAAGTATCACCTGAAAGTGTGCTTATTGTACCTGTTAGAAAAATGAATATGAATCTGGGGCAGATATTTTTGAGATTTGTGTCGGACGATGTGAGTCATGACACGTGGGCCCAAACCACATACTCAACACAATGAGGGGGATGGGATATATGTGATGGTTGTTTGCAAGTTACAGGGTAAAGTTCTCATATATCTTAAATCTAATATAATCCATATATCCATAAAGGAGTTAATAGTTTCATATATTGTAAATCAGTTTTATGTTGATAATTGTTTTTGTGTATCACTGTAAAGCAATGAATAATGTGTTTCATATTTTGTATTTTGCATTTATAGTTTCCGATCAAACAATGCTACTGAATATGATGCAACATTTGTATGTGGACTTAAACTTCAGACTGATATTTGTAAAGCAGTGTCTAAATTAAATAACAGCTTCTTGAGTTTTATCTGCACATGTGATATTCAAGAGTGCATATGGGTGTACAAACAAATGTAGAATATTCAATAAAAGCTTAAGATTAACTAACATATCAGTTTAGATTTTTTTTTAACTCACTTTAGCCCCCCCATCAATGCCAGAATTATGTTTCTGTCAAACACTCCCGCTTGCATTTTTATTTTATTTTATTTTATTTTTGACTTTGACACACATGTTTATCAGTCGAGAGCAGGAAGTGCATTCTACACTAAACCACAGGCATTACATTACAGCAAGGTTAAGCAAATACAACCAAAACAGTGATAATGATAAAACGGTTTGTTAGTTTAAGAGTGAGTTGAGTTGCAGCTTGTTTACCCTGGAATAATTTGATAGAATGTTGATCCTTTATTCAAATAAGAGCACACGCTCTTAACAAAATGTTGTTCTCATCATTGTGGTTTTTACACCTTCATAGTTTACCACTGACCCAAATAACATGGTGGAATTTTTGTGTGGGTTCTGAAAGACAGTCACAGCTGAATCTGAGTTTACTTCATGATCCATAATATAACTAACTATAACTTTCAAGCTTCAACCTGCCTGATTTTTGATTGACTCAATAGGCTAACATTTTCCAAACTCTTTTCATATTATAAACCAGGCTACAAATCTGTCTTTTTAAGGGCACATCAAAGCCAAACTCTTGTCAAATAGTTGTGTCCTTAATTTGTTCAATTTAACATGTAGAAATGGATGGAGTTTTAATATGACCCCTATCAATGTGTTTTAAAGATTTAACCCCAAGTTAAACAACTGAGATAGTCCTACCAGGAGATGGCAGCAACAGTCAAACTAACTCTGCTCACAGACACTTATTTGTAACCCCTCACTGTGAGTTTATAAGGTGATCCAAGCAACATGTGAGCGGCAACGTTTGGTTGTGACCCATTTGTTCCCTCATCCTACATATATATATATAATCCTTCATATTTTTTTTATGCTACTATTTACATCAAATACATTCTAATTTTAAAATAATTGTATTTATTGTATTTGTAATTGTATTTTGAAAAATAAAATGTGCAACACATTCATATTTAACATATCCATTCAGTACCTGAATCTTGTGCTTGGATTATGGCTTTTTTATGCTTAGTTCTAGTATAGTACTGACCACTTGTCACATTCACCCATTCACACACACACACTCATACCTAATAAGCGGTTGGCACCTTGCAACTGCTCCAGTACACACACACACTGACTGACGGCACAAGTTTTGGGGGCAATTTGGGGTTCAGTATCTTGCCCAAGGACACTTTGACTGGACTGAGGGAACTGGGAATTGAACCAGAGACCCTCTGATTACTAGACGACCATGCTCTACCATCTGAGCCACAGCTGCTCCCAAGTTGTTGATGTTTGCTGTTACTTTAAAACTGTAACAACTATTAATAATGAATGCAATATGATACAACATACCATGCTTGTTCCACTGAAACTAAACAGACGTTTACTATGCCTGCTGCTAAACTCTTTACATCTTAATATCTGGAGTATCTGCCCATAATACACATTTTCACATGTCGTTATTGTATGGTGTGTGGCATGCTGGCTCACTGGCAGTGCGGATTGTTTGGGGACCATCATTAGTGTTATTAGTTCCACCTGTGCTTTTCCTGCTATAACAAGTGAAATGGTCTGAGAGTCTAAGATCCTAATATTGCTGTAACATCCATGTTCCTTATCTCCCTCGGAGTGGAAGCCATTGACGTGTTTCCCAGTCTTACTTTTGAGCAGAAGAGGGCAGCATTGGACAGTAATTTCACTGCAACTGACAGTAGACTATGTTTCTATCAAACTGTCAATGGTTTTGGGGGGCGACACGCAGTAAGTGCCACAGGTCTGACCCGAACCCCACAGGGCGCCAGCTCCACCAGGTGAGCCACCAGAGCACCAGGGCAAGGTCAGGTGTGTATACTAAGAAAACAGGTAACATAAAGCAAAAATAAATACTCCATGGCAGACTTCAACCATAACCATAACATGTTACTAGCCACTGCATCCAATCACAGGTGTGCACATTTATAATGATCACAAGATTACCTTTGTTGTTGAACTGCATTGCAATGTGCTTCAAGCATCAGAGCATCAGCACGTATATGCTGGTATGTCTGTATGAACATAAAATGAGACTGATTAGAGATGTATGCCAAAGTTATATGAAAGGTGATGATTAAGTTTCCATAACACAGCAAATTATCCATAACATAACGAGTGTATGTCTATAACATATACTGTCTGCTTAGCTGTAAGACGGTTTCCATCATTAGTCGGTACTCAAGTCCACCCCCCACACCAGTCAGTCAATCTATCAATCAAAGTCGGTAGCTGACCTTTCTTCCATAACCTCATGATACACATAAATTCAATTTAAGTTAAATATCTGTTGTTAACACTTTTTTAATCCATGATAAACGCAGGATATATTTCATGAAACATATCAGAATAATGCGTTTTTCTGATTAGACCCACATATATTTTATGTCAGGCCGCACATATCCATTGCTGGGACTGAATAATAATAATATCTTTTGTGTAAGGAGACCAACACTGGACGGATACTGTACTATCTAAATTGGGATCCGTGCGTAAAGCGTCCATCTGCGCGTAACCACCCCCACGCCCCCCACCTCGTGCGCTCACATCACGATTTCTTTTATCATGGTCGTGCGGTCTCGAGACTTTATCGTCCCACTAAAGGGCACATCATCGAGCTCAGCGGATCGCACGGCACTTCTCCATCTCCTGCAGTCCTCAGAGTCATCACGCACTGGAGAGCGAGCTCCATAAGAACAAGTGCAGCGACAAAACCGACACAACAAAGTCAACTCCAGTTTTTTTGACGTCGGGACCGCGTGAGACGGTCGCTCTCCTCTGAGGACCAAAGCGCTGCTTCTTTACCGACGACAGACAGAAGTGGACCAGCTTGAAACCCAGTATGAAGAAGACTCCAAATTCAGGTACAAATGTTTCGGAAAAGTATGCACTTAATATGGTGATAACATAGATACTTTACTATTTTAACTTATTCAGTCAGATATCACAACAATAAGTGGAATAAGTTATATAAGTAGGCTATGCTTTAAAAAGTATGTGACCTATTTAAGTATAATCTATAAATCCTTCTGATGTTTTTGCATGTCAAAGTCATATTACACAAGCTGTATCTGAATATGACAAACAATTTATGTCACACAATATATTTTCAATATATTTTAGTATATAATGCAGTTATCCCACCAAATTGAAGAGGTTTTTGTCCCCTCTGAGTATTTTTTTAGTTTTAGGTTTGAAGAAGTTAAGTTTGAAGTCTTCTAAGTCAATCGATAATCAAACCAGGATTACTACAAATAATTACGATCAATCAAAATGGCAAACCCTTTTTCTTTTCTTGTTGTTCCAACTTCCAATAAATGTGATAAAAGTTAAAATATTCTATTCCTCCTTTTGCTTGGGACTCCATACAATCCACTCTCAGACCAATGTTAGTCCACCGACCGCAGTTTGAGAACCATTGCATGGTTCTCTTTTATAAAAAAAAACACTGCTGAATGTTCTCTTTAAACTTTATTTCTGTTTATCTTTAGTCTTTTTTTTATCCATTTCCAACTTCTCAAACTCTTTCACTTTGCGTACGCCCTCCTCTGTTGCTTTGGGTGAGTTTGTGTCGTGGCTATGTGTACAGCACCCACGGGAGCACCTCGGGGTCCCCTGGCTATTAAAGTCTGACGTGCATCATCATCTGTCCTTCTCAGCCTGACCTCTTGTGCGAATGCACTGGCTCCTGCTGGCAGCGTTCTCTTCATTGGCTCATAAAGCTGCGCATGTGTTTGTGTTTGGCTTTAACAAACATTTTAGACATTTTTGCTTGCTCGTGATGTCAGTGTACATTCTTTTGTGTATGCTGGCTCATGTTTGCATCTGCACTGTACATGCTTGACACAATATAGTGTGTGAATGTGTGTATGTGTTATACAACACATGTCTGGCTTTGCTCCGGCCCCATCTGTGCATTCGCCCTCTCTCAACATTTAGGAACACAGGATGGGCTCTGGAGAGAAAAATAAAGCACTCTAGATTAAACAGACTCAGAAATGTGGCACAAGCTGATGCTGCAGGGGCTTGTGTTGAAAACAGGACACACATTTAACACTGAGTTTGAAGAAAACGTGTCATGCTCATTATTTTGTTCATTCATGATATCTCCATGTGTTTTTAAGCCATTGGAGAAATATCCAAGTTAAATCTTGATAAGCAAATTGCAAGTAGGTGGCAAGATTTGTTTTTTTTTCTGAATGATGACCAATAAAATGGCACGATACATTTTCAAAGTTTTGTCAACAATGTTTTTTATATGATGACTTTTACCAGGTCAAAACCTGAGACTTGAATGCTTTTTTCACAAGTAAATTAAGTTTAAATCTCAAGCCTCTGTCTGTGCTATTACAGTACACATGGTCCACATTGAATTTCTGTGACCGGACTGTACATTGTCAGAAAATCCAGATTATCAGTGTATTAACCATGTGCATAGGAACTATCACAAACACAGCAGTAGTCTGGAGTCTTGCAGAATCAGTGCTGAGGAATAGAAATGTGGAAAAGGTCATGCTTAGAGGTGAGGGACTGGCCTGTTTAAGGAGTCTTATCACTAACTGTCTCTGGAGATCCTCACCCCTGCACCTGCACCGACACAGCACTACTACACAAATGCCCTCTACTATTAGCTGTTGTCTTTTGCCAGAGGTGGATTGGTAGCTTAGTAGGTGGTCAGACTGCTCAGGAGGCTGGCAGTGTCCAGATGTAAGGTACTGTGCAGGAGGATTGGAAGAGCAAATCACTGTTTACTGAATAGTTCTTAGTATTTCAACCCCGAGGTCTTAATACGCTTTGATCATTAGGTTGACTGGTTCTTTAGGCAAAGACAAACCATAAGACCGGGTAGCCACACTCTGTCCTCCTCATCTTAAAGCTTGTAGAGGTTCCAGCAGTTTCTCCATGCAGCATCTTGACCCGAAGGTGTCAAATTATCT